TAAATATTAAAGATAACTAATATAATTAAAACAAAAAACATTTAAGTAGAGTGAATCAAAGTAAAAAGTTATAGTAAAAACAAATAAAATAATAAAACTAATAGCCTTACAAAGAAGAGAACATTAAGTAAAAAAATAATTTTTTCAAAAGAAGTCAACTATAAAGAAATAAAGTACTACCTAGAATAGAAAAACAAATAAATAAACTTACTAACAAAACTTCTATGTAAAATAGTAACAAATACCAAATTAAGAATAAAAGTATAAAAACATAATAGTGATTAACAATATAAAACTAGTAACAGAAGTAATGATCTATAATTAGACATAGTTTTAAAAAAGGCTAAAGTCATCTAAAAGAGTACATTGTTTGATAAAAAAAAAAGCAGTACAAGAAGAAGTCTTTTATAAAATGTATATTAAACAAACTTTTGACTTTAGAAGAACTTAACAGAAGAAGACCAAATATATATATATTGGCAAAATATCAAGTTTGCTAAAGCAAAGCCAAAGAAATATAAGAATATTTGACATCTTATAAAAGACAAACAAACTTATGAAAAAGAATACAGAAAGTATTTATTGCAATAGCATAGAAAAGTTTAAAAAAAAATGAAAAATCTGGGTTTCATCTTATGTATTATATATAGCACTTTTTAAAAAAACAGAGAAATATGAAATAAAAATAAGAAAAGCACTAATCAAAGGCATAATTCCAAAAGTAAATCAAAACAGACTATTGCAACTTTTAAGTACAAAAACATACAAAAATAAACAACAGTTTATGAATATAGTAGCAGAAATAGCATGAAACATATTATATGAACAAGTTTGAAGAAGATGCTGTGAAAAGGTTAATATAAAAAAAAAAAGAAATAATGAATAAAATAAAAAAAGAAAAACAGAAAAAAAAGAGAAATTCAAGCAAAAAGAGAAAGGATAGCAAAAAATAAAAGAGAGAAAGAAGAAAGTAAAAAAAAAAAGAAATGAATTAAAGAGAAAGTTAGAAAGACAATTTGAAAGCTTGTTATATAAGTAAGAAGACCTTTTTATTATAGACTTTAAGTAATCAGACAAGCAGCTTACCTTTGTTGAAAGTAATGCAACAGGTTAAACTTAGGCACTATTAGAGTAGCTAAATGATGCTAGGCTTAGTTGTTAAGTATATTTATATAATTGTAATAGTAATTTCAAAAATCTTAATAAAGTACTAGCATAACTGCTTAAAAAAAAAAAATAAGAATAATTATGATTCACAGAACTATAAAATTCACAGTCTGTGAAGATTGGTAATATTCTAAAAAAATTTATAAAAACACTCAAATCTCTCTCTTTTTAAAATTATTTTTCTAGTCTTAAAGAATAAGAAACAGTAATAAGTTTGAAATTGAAAACATTTATTATGATAAATTAAAAATGTCTGAGTTTAGAATAAATATAAAAACAAAACTATTTATAAATTTCAATTTTTTATAATTACAATACCAAATCTGTTTTGAATCATGTAATTAAATATAAAAATTATTATGAATTAAAATTAACTAATATTATAAACAATATTGAATATAAAAAAACTCAAGAGGGGTGTAGTGACCTAGTAAAATAGTTAGGTTGTCAACTCTTAAGTGGCAGGTTCAGAGTTCAAATTCTAGTATTAACAAAAAATTTAAAAATCTTCTCTGTGTTATAATTAACTGTCTTTTACAATTGGTTGAAATAAGATACCTGTTACCTGTATCACACCAGTATAACTGGCAAGTCACATGGCATTTATGTAAAAGTTATATAACATTGTCCTTTGGAACAAGATCTGTGGTTACACAAAGAAATGCAAATTGGTACTAGGTGGTGCAAACCTACAATAAGTTCTCATAGCCATGTAAATTATAAGAACCAAAAGAAGAAAGACAGAAGCCTACTTGAAAGACCTGAATAAAGAGGTAACTTGAACTTTTGATAGTGCTACTGTAAAGACTAGACCTATGAAACAAAGCTAGAAATTGTGAAACTAGACAAATATGCCAGTCTTTGAGGAGGGATCAGATGAACCAACTAGGCTGGAATTTCTAAATTTTAAAAGAAAAAAATACATATTGGCAAATATGTAAATCAGAGGTATAGACCTGCAGGTCGATAGCGAAGTGGTTATGCTCCCAGGTTACCAATCGCAAGGTTGCCAGTTCAAGTCCAACAGGGAACGAAAAAACTGAGTTAGGACTACGATTGTTGATTAAACACAGCAGGTAATGCTCTATGAAAATAGGAAGATCTTTGGTACCCAGATCCTTAAATGGTGATGGACCTGATATAAGAAGGCCACGATGATTAGGGGGCTGAGGATAATAATAGAACAAAGAAATCCCCGATTAGGAATAGTTCTGGTGAAATTCCAGGATAACAGGAACACAAAAAATTAGTACATAGATAGTACTATAAAATGTATAAATAAAATGTAAAATGTAGGCAGGGTCCTGATAAAAGGTCCCATGAACTTAAAAATTGAATTAATAAAATAGCCGCCAACTGCGGCCTACTAGTGACCAGGCAGTGGGAATTCAAAAAAAAAAAATCAGAGGTATAGTTACAGTCTACTTTTCTAGGCTATCTGAAATAGCAGCTTGATGGAACTTGAATTGAATACCAAATTAATAAGAATATGTTGTAAAGTCAGTATTAGAGTTGAAATAAACTCTACAAGAGCATAGTGGTTTAATGATACATTCTAATTACTAGTGTTGGTCTTAGTTATAGCAATACTAAGTCAGCTATAAGAATGAAATAAAAAAGATTCTGGAAGGTTTAGTACAAGGTCAAAGGTTTCAAAGAACTACTTTAAAGACTTAGTAGTTATAGTATATTTTTATTAGCATTGGCTAAGGTCATTGGTAAGCAGAGATAGATAAATAAATATAGAAACTAGAGTAGTTAAATAGGTAACCTACAAGTAGATTTCAGGTATGGCAGCTAGTATAGAACCTTTGAGCTGACTACTTAAATTAGACAATGACTAATGTTATACAGGTGGCTAGTTGTATACTCTTTCTATAATTGCTTTCTATAGTTGTAATACAACTATTAGCTAAATATACTATTAATAAAATTCTGGGTCACAAATACTTATTTTAATATTTAAAAAAAAAAAAAAAAAAAACTCAAGCAAAACTAAAAGAATTAATAAATAGACAACTAAAAATTAATTTTATACTTAACTAATTTATTTAAAAGTGAAAAAGCTTCATACTGTATTTGTTCATGAATTTATTTTTTTTATAAATATTAACTTTTACTTGCTCTCATATGTTTGTTAATTGACTGAATGACCAACTGGCCAATTTGATTTTTTTTAGTTTGAAAAAATTATCTTATCAAATAAAATTTATTTTGCAACCAAAAATTTAATATTAGGTAAAAGAGATTAACAATCTGTAATAATCTTTACTTTATATAATACCTTTTATTAACTCTTATTCTGCTAACTTAGTGACTTTATAGATTGTTGTTTGTTGACTAATATTTGTAATTGTAATTCATTTATTTGAATTATTTATACTATAAATCCAGATTTTAAAATTATTCAAATTAGAATTTTTTAATAACAAACAAAAAATACAAGCAACAAATAAAACAAAAAAGCAAAAAAATACAAAGTAGGTTTTATATTTATTAATTAAATAAAAGAATTTTAGTAACTATAACTCATGGTAATAATCACTACAGCTATGTTACACGATATATTTGTTATATTAATATATTTGTTATAATATATATTATATATAAATTATTAGTAGATTATACATATTATACAGAAATTATTAGTAGTTAGTGCCAGTAATACAAACTTTAAATTTTGACTATTCTGAACTAATATAATGTTGCAATAGAATTCGAAAAACAGAAAAGTGAAAATACTCAAAGACTAATATTTAACCCAGTCTTATTTTCATGTACAATGTAGTTTGTATTACTGGTGAGAATAAGTAAATCTGTATATATATATAAATATACCAATATATAATTGTATGAGCATATGTGCTATACGTTGCAAGTAAAGTAAGCAGCTAGGCAGTTTATCTGTGATGCTTTTTTAATAAAAAATTCTAGCTTTTGACAACTCTATTAAATAATAATGTTTATCATATAAAAGACATTTATAAGTATATTTAAAACTTGAAATATATAGAACATTCAATATAAATACTATTATACAGTGCTATAACTCTTGTATGTAGTTCACTTATATTATATATTTTATTCACCCTTATTAATTAACTACCTAGTTAAATTGCGTATTAATATACTTCACTCTCTTAACAGTTTTTTTAAAAAAAACAATTAAATATATTATTTTGAAGCACTACTAAATAAAAAATAGGTTCTTACAATTAGTATTCAGTTAGTGAAAAAACTCACAAAAAAATAAACACTATAAAAAAGACCAAAAATATATCATTTTATTGATATTTATCTGATGTCGAGTAGTATAATACATTTCAAATACTCTTTATATTTGGAGTGTATTATTATTATAATGTAAAAACAAAACCTTTTTTAAAGCTAGAATCAAATTCATGATTATAAAAGTTATTATTTTAACATTTCATTGCTTATTCTAAAAATAAATTCAATCTAAAAATTGCTATGTAGTTCAGAATCATATATATTGTATTATTAACTGCAAATGTGTTATAAATTTTACTTGCTGTTATTATTGATGTGTACTATATGTAACATTATTTTTACTATATATTTTATTATAAAGAATATACTATGATCTTATCTTGCTGTTTACATATGCATGCATTTTAACCCATCCTATTACATACATTGCATATATATCTTCTTTTATTTTCTTAGCATAATTCTTTAGTATTGTTGTTTGAAACATTATTATTATCAGAATTAATATTTGAGAAAGGTATTCTAAAATTGGAATCTTTAGGATTAATTACATGATTATGTGCCAGCCCTCTGTAGTTTAGATTTTTAAAAGATCCTTTTAATCATTTAGTTAATGAATGTCCACAACACTTTGTAACTAAAGGATCCACTATAACTTTCTGTTTATGTTGAGAACTTTTATTGTTGAGATTTTTATGCTTAGATTTTTTCTGATCAATAAACTGAGTAACCATATTCATTAATTCTTTCACACATCCAAGATTTAGTACAAGATTAAGTGCCTTTTTTAATTTTCCAAATCTGTTAGCATATATAACTTTTTTGCTAACCAATTGCTTATGCTTTGTATTATACAAATTAGCATCTCGAATTTGTTCTATGATATAAAGATTTAAAACAATAATATCTGAAGCATTTTGCTAAAATATAGTTGAAATTTCAATGCATTGCTGCTATAAAACCTTCAATTCTTTGTCTTAATAATCATCTTGGTACCAATGTCTTAGAACTAATCCAATATGAAACTTTGCTATTTTGGTGTTTATTATTATTTAAAAAAAGTAGGTGCATATAATGCTATGGTTAATAATAAACATGCAAGTGCATAGATGTCTATCATTACTTAACAAAATTACATAGTGCTTGTAAATTGCTGATAAATTCATAAGTTCCCAGATTTCCACAACATCATTTATGTCAATATCCTTTATAAGAGATATAATAGAAATTTGAAATTTATTAATTTGATCTTTCAGAAAACCCTCATCATAATTTAACAAAATGTTTTCCTAAAAAAAAAAAAGAAAGCCAAATTCAAAATTAAAAATACAATCAACCAAAAATGTACAATAAATAATAAACTAATTATTTAATCTAATCTGTAGTTCCTGAATATTATTTTTTGATATATAGTATAGGACAGTAAAAGACATCCAATCAATACATATAGGCACCAATTTTTGGTGCTTATATAATCAATTCTGATTGGCTAATTTTTGTGTGATTGATTTTGATTGGTTAGAAATATATATATGTTTTCTTATTTTTTATATTAAATACTAATTTTTTAAACTCATATAAACTTTAATCCTTTATAATTTTTTTAAAACAAAGAATAAAAAAAAATCCTCTGCCAAATTGTAGTTTATCCAAAAATCTATTAATTTGTCAGAGGTTTTTTTGATTTAACCTGTTTTAAAAAAGTTATAACACTTCAAAGTTTTTATTAATAAACATTAGATGTTTTTTATTGTCTGATACTGTAGTTGTACCTAATACATAAGAGACTTAATAATTTGCCATTGTTGAACAACTAATATATGGAATGTTAAATATATTTTCAATATTTTTAAAACTTTTGGAAATATTAACTTAGCAACTTTTGGCACTTGATTGATAGGAAGAGAATTTAAATATTTATTATGTCATGACCATTTAGCCTCATTATCTAATAGATTTTATATATGTTTAGGAAGGTCACACAATGAAGTAGTATTTTTTACAACTTTCTTAATCAGTCTGTTCATTACCTCAACACATTGAGTACTCTGAACTCTTGCAGTAAAATGCTTTAACTGATAATACCAGGCTCATAATTTAATATATCCTTGTAACGCTTAATTAAAATAATTATTTGTTTGAAGATATTTGTTTAATAAATGTAACCACTACTTATGAAAATCTTCTTCAAACATGCTATTTCATGCATATAAAAATTTTTTGTAAAAATCATCAAATTGTTTCTCAAGTTTACTTCATAAATTTTTGCAAATGTTTTCCTAAATATGAAAAATATAAAGGAAGTGATTTGTAGTAGATAGTCTTAAAGAAATGGCACTACTTAGTGTGAGTTCTGCATTTGAAAATAAAACTGCCAGAAATGTATTATATGCTGCATTTTTGACATATTCAAAAAACCATTCATATGCTTTAGTAGTTTTATCATCAAACAATGCTTGATATACTAGCTGAGTCTTTGTATTACTATTAATTATTATTAAAAGTATGAGGTATATGTCAAACTTATTTGTTTTATATATATTGTTAGTCTGAACAATATTAATATAATGAATCAGAAATTGTTGCTACATTAAAGACATCCAAAAGATTCCTGCCAGCCTATTATCATATAGATCCATTCTAATATTGACAATCTAACCTGAATCTTAGCTTTTTAACTACAACAAATAATCTATAAAATGCTAAGAGAAGTAAGTTTAAGAAATAAGCATATACTTATTATTGAAATTATGAAAATACTTATTGTTAAAATTTTGTTAAAATTATTATCTGTGCTTTTTCATGACATTGACTAGGTGCTTTTCAAAACTTTTTAACTGCATAATAAAGATCAGTTTTATAAATAATATAATCAGGAAATTTTGCTATCAAAAGTGATAAGATTTGTTTAAATTCTATATTCCTTTTTGTAATATAAAATTATATTAAGTCTAGAATTTCTGAAGACAACTTTCTATATCTTGAAGCATATAAAGATACATCCAGTTGCATTTGATAATCATGCTTTTCCTCTATACTTGTAATAGCAACAACTTTAGAAAACTTTGGTTTTGATAGATTTACATGCCAAGAACATAAAATTTTATTTAAGTTTCGATTGCATTATTGAGAAAGGTCAATAACCTTGTTGCTAATAGCTTTACTAGCATGTGTACATTCAAAGGTACATCATCTAACTTTACTATTTTCATTAACTGCTACTCTCTTTTGACATAATAAAAAACTTGTAGCTTTAGCATAATAATTGAGATGTGCTTCAGCTTCATTCTATAACATATAGAAATCACTTACTGAAAGTTAATTTTGTTCATTATTTAACTCAATTTCTGAAGATTAAAGATTCTGTTTATCGTTTGGCTCAATTTCTGAAAGTTAAAGATCTTATTCATTGTTTGGCTTAATTTCTAAAGATTGAAGAGCATGTTTATTGTTTGGCTCAATTAAAAATAATTCTGTATAAGAAGGTATTAATTCCAAGTCTAAGCTATTTGTAGTTTTAATATTAACTAAAAAACTATTTGTAGATTCAAAAGGACTTGTATCTAAATGTTTTAAAAAAAAATTAGAAATAGTAAATCTAACGTTTTATACAGCATTCTTTGAATGATAACAATACTACTTACCTTCTATAATTTTTATAATCAAGCTAGAAATGAAAGAATAATAGCAATAAAAGAAGCATGACAAGAAAGCAATAAAGAAAGCACAAATAAGCAAACAATAAAGTACAATAAATAAAGCAAAAGCAAACAATAATAAGCAAGTAAACAAAGAAGCACAAGCAAGCAATGAAAGCTAATGACAAACAAGCAAGAAAGCAAAGCAAATAAACAGAAAAGAAAAATAATGTATAATTAAGAATATAGGCAAACACAATAATGAAAAGAAATACAGCAATAAAAGATAAATATGATCAAAGTAAAACAGTATTGTTCATGTAAAAAAATAACTAACATGATGTGCTGCTTAAAATGAAGTAAGCATAGCGAAGAAAAAAAAGCTTTGTGAAAGATGAAAAAGAACATGGCAGTAAAAGATGAACATAATTACAGTAAATCAGTATAAGTAATGCAAAAAAATAATTTTAATATGATGTACTAGTAAAACAAGAGCATACAGTGAAGAAAAAAAAGCTGTAAAAGAAAAGTATATGAATAGAAATAGTATTAGTAATGTGATACTAAAATAAAGAAAAAAATTCTGTGATTGATTGATCAACTGATCAATCTGATCATGTATAAATAATGTGTAATTATAAATTATATAGGGTGGTGATCATCACTACTAGTTATTTTAACTTAAATTCTAAATAAAAATATAATTAGTATATAAAATTTATTAATCTTAATAAATAAAAAATATATTATTTTTATTTAATATTAAATTTTAAATAAATAAAAATTTTTTTTTTTGTTAAAGGCTATACTTTATTGACTTATATTAGATTAGCTATTACAACTATTTTTACAAAGATAAGAGTACAGCTAGCTACATATGCAACTTTTAGTTGTCTATTTAAGTAGTTTGCTCTAAGGTTCTACACTAGATGCTGTATCTATAATCTACTAGGAGATAATCCATTTTAAACTCTTTGATTATTCATCCTATCATATTGGAATCTCCAACTAATCTCCTGTATATATCTAACCAGTATACTATCTGAGCAGTATGATTATCTATTTTTTTTGTACTGATTCCTAGGCCATTATACATTTCAAAATATGTTATCTGTCAGTAAGATGCAGGAGGCCTTCTGTTGTTAACTATCTATCTACTTTTAGAACACTAACATGGACTACTCTTACAGAGTTCACTTAAACCTTAGTACTAACTTCACAGCATATCTCTAGTACTTTTAGTATATTCTTACTTTGAACCCAGACTTCCAATTCAGATAGCCCAGAAGAACTGTAACCTGTCCTTAATATATTGAGGCCGGTCTAATATTCTTTTTCTTCTGGTTCGAAATTCAATAGCCTAGTTGGTGGTATCCTTCATCTGAGATTCTTGTTTGCCTGAATCCTTCACATTGGTATTCATTTCCTAGGTTTAGCCTTTACAGTAGTACTGTTGAAAATCTGTGTTACCTTTCTGCTCAGAATTTCCAAATAGGCTCTAGCTTTCTAGTTCTAAAGATTTACTTAGTCTGAGAACTTATTTTAGGTTTGCACTGCCTAGTACTGGTTTGCATTCCTTTGTGTAACAGGTTACACAAATGCCTCAGACCTGCCAGTCATGCTAGTGCGATCATAGTTACAAGTATCCTATCCTAACTGATTGACAGAATATTATTGCTATAATACTGTCTATATATTACATAGATGATTATCCAAATTTTGCCATCAGTAGGTTTTGAACTTACTATCTATTACTTGAAAGTATGACAACTTATTTACTTTACTAAGTTATTACACCCTTGTTGTATGATGTTTATAATTTCTTCTGTAGTAATTTCTTGAAATATAGGAGTATATCATTCAGTATTAATATTAGTATTAGGTTGATATACAGTCTTTTAATTTTGATTGAAGATATTTTTATCAAATAGATAATAAGCTGTTCATGTTTTAAAATATTTACTAACATGTTATTTAATCTCTGTAGAGTCAGTAATTATACTATTGGTAGATTTGATGTTTTGGAGATGTACTGTATCTGTATATCAGTTTAATATACTATTGATCATTTTGTTAGTTAAATAGATAATTGTTTATATTATTTGTTTGTAGCTATATTAATATGGTTATAAAAATGTTTGGAATTTTTGATGTTTCTGGCATTGTAAAGTGTTTTCTAGAATGTTTTTGTATGCTGTATCCAAGTAGCTAGGCTGGATTAATAGTTGAGTAGTAATTCAATAGTAAAGTTATGAGTACTATTAATGTGATCAATAAGATTATAAATATTAGTAGGTAATGGTATTTGGTATAAAAAGAGTTTTTTAATATGGTGTATAATATGTCTAATAGTTTTAAGATTATGATATAATTAGATTGCTTTTGGTGTAAATGTATGATAAAAGTTTTTAATAGTATATTTTTTGTTTGAAATATGTTAAAATGCAGCATTGATGATACTAGTATATATTTTATATCAGGTTTTTTCAAGGCTTTCTGTTGTATTTATTGTAATTAGAACCTGGTGTTATATTATATTCAAGTTTATTTGATTTGTAAAATCATTTTAGTCTTTTATAAACATTGCTTTGTAATTAAATATTTATCATTTACTTTTGCTTTTGTGTTTGACTTTGGTTGCTACAAATGTAAGTATCTATATAGAGATTAGAATTTAGTAATCACTATTAGTTGAGGATGATGAATTATCAAGTTTAAATTTATTTAAATATGATATAAGAGCATCATGAACCCATATGTAGTCTATTCTGGTTTGATATCAGGTACTATGCCAAGTGTTTTATAAATTGTTAATATAGTCTGCTAGGTCATTTATGTTTGTACTATGCAAGTAATTGAGTAATTAGAATTTAGTTCCTGATAATGTAGTCATATTGTTGTCTGCATTAAAATCTCTAAGTATGATAGAATATAAGTTGGATAATATTACTTGTTGTATCTATGTAGTAGTGATGTTTTGTGTAAGTTTGCAGTTAGCAGTATTAGTAGATGAGAGATATACTGAGATAATTCTAAATTTATAATCATGTTTGAAAAATAGGTCTATAGCAATAGCACTACTCAGTTGTGTGATTATATTGTATATATAAGACTAAATATTATTTTTAATTATTATACATATTTCTTCTTTAGATTCTGTAAAGTTGGACCAGAAGTATGAATAATGAGATGTATTCCAGAACTTGGTTTTTGTATTTTTAGAGATTTTTGTTTCAGTAAGCCTAATTATATCTAAGTTATAAGTCAAACAGTAATTTTCCTATAGCAACCATTTTTCTTATATGTTGTATCTTTGAACATTGTATGTTGCAATATTGAGTTTAAGTAAAATTTTCTTGTTAAAAAGGTTGAAAGAGAATTTTAAAGATAGTTGATAATATTTATAGTATTGATGGTATAAAAGTATAGTATGATTAGAAAATAGGTTGTCATTGTAGTTAGTAAAATATGAGTTTCTGTATAAGATAAATTAATAGATATTCATATATGCTTTAACAAATTTCTTCTCTATTATCATTTACCACTTCTTCCTTATAGTCAAACTATTCAAATTCTAATTAAACATATTAACAAATATAACAACAACAAAACTGTATCTAGTATCATATTTTTTGTCAATTCATCTTGTAATGAAACTCATATATATTTTCTTAATAACACTCTCTTACCAGATTATATTGTTATTGCCTTATACCTTTTTTTATATTCTATAATCTTCTTCTTAGATCTAACTTCTTTAATCTCACTTTTATCTCATCTGATTTATTTTTTGACAACCATTCTTCAACTCTTAATTGTAATCCTTTCTCACTTTTATCTAACCCAACTATACATCATCTTAATTTAACTATTGCTATACACAATGTTAGAGGCTTCAATAAACCTACCAAAAGAGAAACATGACAAGATTATTGCCTCAACTATAACATATTTATTGCAAGCATTACTGAAACTAAAATTTTTGACAAAACTAACCTCTTCTTTTGCAATAATAACTTTTTTAACTACTATTGGTCTAACTTTTTTACTTCTATTAAAGGCACTGCTATCATGATTCACAATAATCTTAAACCTCATATTCACAATATTCATACTCATCTTAGAGGTGCTATAGCACTTGATATTTTTTTTCAAAGTAATATCAAACTCCATATCATTTCAGTATACCTGTCATCAACTGATATGTTCACTTGAAATCAAACTCAAAATACTGTTATTAACTAGATCTAACAAGCTTCTCAACTTCACATTTACTCTATTATTCTTGATAATTTTAACATACAAGATAATATGAACAGTTCTTCTTTTAAATACAAACTTATCAACTTTCTTAATAACACCAATATATATGAC